GGTGTTGAGCCTTTTCTCCACAAATGTTGTCATCTGTGCTGTGCCTAACTCATAGCAGCTCAGTAGGCGTCTTGTAACATCTTGTGGCATTACCACTCCTGGGGCAATGTTGATAAGGGGTAAGGGGCCATCACTGTCATTTTCCACTTTATCAAGAGAGAATGGGTTTGTTATGAGGCCTGATGTGATTGTGGACAACAGCTTGTTGACATCTCCCTCATCTCTCTTCCGTCTGTTTAGGGCTGCCTCCTTGTGTGTTCCCACTCGATCAGAATCTTGCAGGCCACACATCTCCTTCATTGCTGTTGTGATAACAGCTCGTTCGTGGCTGGTTAAGAACCAGCGTTCCAGTGCTCTGGGTTTCTGACTGATGCCGATGATGCCACCCTTGGTCGTTGAGTCTAGGTATATCAGCCCACACCTGAGCAAACGGCTGACTAGACCTGCTGACAGCATGGTTTCCAGTGACAAACTCTTTGTGAATGGCAGGATGTGTCTCCAACAGCTGGTTCATGTCGGTGATGTAGACAGGTAGCCATCGGGAATAGTTTGGCCTGTCCATGGCGAAGACAGTGGGGTGTCATGGCAGAGTGCTGACAGGTGTTAGATGCCAGTCACTGTCCTCTCTGCTCTGATGAACTGGAGAAGCAGCTTGGACATAGCAACATAGTCATCCGAAAAGCAAACAGCGTGCAGATTTGCCCTGCGAGCCTCATTCGAATGTGGTGAACTGCTGCTTCCAGCTCTACCATGTCTCCGGTCAGCTTGTCTTTTACTTTTCCTGAGCATCTTTGCCTTTCTGCGACAGCTTCTCTACAGCGGCCCTGGTAGTACTCTGCCACTGCTTCCTTTATCTACACCACCACCTTCTTCGCCATGGACAGGCCAAACTATTCCCGATGGCTACCTGTCTACATCACCGACATGAACCAGCTGTTGGAGACACATCCTGCCATTCACAAAGAGTTTGTCACTGGAAGCCATGCTGTCAGCAGGTCTAGTCAGCCGTTTGCTCAGGTGTGGACTGATATGGCCTTGGAGCAATCCATCAACCTAGACTCAAAGACCAAGGGTGGCATCATCGGCATCAGTCAGAAACCCAGAGCACTGGAACGCTGGTTCTTAACCAGCCACGAACGAGCTGTTATCACAACAGCAATGAAGGAGATGTGTGGCCTGCAAGATTCTGATCGAGTGGGAACACACAAGGAGGCAGCCCCAAACAGACGGAAGAGAGATGAGGGAGATGTCAACAAGCTGTTGTCCACAATCACATCAGGCCTTATGACATGGCTTCTGTACAGATGTTAAAGTCTGGTGGTGTGTCATACTTTGGAGAGCTCGCGTCCAAGCACTACAGTCTTATCACTGCACCATTTGCTCAGAAGGGATGCATGCGAGTTGATGTGATCATGGACCAGTACAGGAGCATGTCAATCAAAGCTGGAGAGCGTGCCAAACGGGGAGCATCCACTGCCCTAGAGATCAAAATCCAGAGCCCAGCAACACCAATTCCCAAGCAGTGGCCAAAATACATTGCCAATTCACAAAACAAGACCAATCTGTGTGCCTTCCTGTCGGAAACGTGGTGTCACATGGCACAAGAGAAGCTGCAACTCGGCCAGCAAATAGTCCTTGCTGGTGGTTTCAGAGATGGTCAGAAGGCGGTTCTAGTTATCAAAGGACACTGTGAGGAGCTAGCACCTCTCAGATCAGACCACGAGGAAGCAGACACTAGACTACTGCTGCATGCGAAACATGCATCGCATGACCACAAAAGGATCATCATCCAATCCCCAGACACAGATGTAGCTGTACTGTGTGCCACTCACCTCACCTCCTGCCAACAACTATGGTTCCGCACTGGGGTTAAGGACAAGCTGAGGTACATCCCCATGCACAATTTGGCTGCCGAGTTGGGTCCACAGCTCTGTGATGCATTGCCAGCATTCCATGCACTGACCGGATGCGACTCTAACAGTTCACTGTGTGGAATCGGCAAGAAGAAAGCCTTCAACACAATATGTGCTAGTGAGCTGCACCAGGAGAGTGTGTCTCAGCTGGGCAAAGACACCACAATGAGTGAAGACACTATCTCTGGGTGTGAAGCGTTTGTGTGCAGTGTATACACAAAGACCACAAAAGCTGGCAGCAAAGCCGATGATGTGAGGTACTGGCTTTTCTGTCAGAGAGGTCAGAAGAATGAGGTGTTGCCGCCGACTTCAGACAGCCTCCTTCAACACCTAAAGCGTTCAAACTACCAAACTGTTGTATGGAGGAGGGCACTGGATGCCAGACAGGACTTGCCAACACCCGAGCAACATGGCTGGAGCATCTCAGATGGTGCTCTGCAACCTGTGCTGATGACAAAGGAGCCAGCACCACGTGGACTGGTAGAGCTTACGGCATGTCGCTGTAAGAGGTCAGCCTGTCGTCGTGCAGATTGCTCCTGTAGGACAAATGGACTTGCATGAAAGCCTGTGTTTGCATGGCCGATGAAAGCTG